GTGAATGTGTTAATATTCCATGTGGGCTCGAACTGTAGGAGCAGTTTACATTCCACTGTGCACATAATTTCATGTCCCATAATTTCTTGGCAAGAAAAAAAGCTAGAAACCCAAGAAAAAGAAGCGCTCGAGAGGAATCGAGTCTACAGAAAAATAGCGGAATAACGAAAGACAAACAAAAGGGACTACAGATGGCGCGTTTTGTTAAGCTTGAAAATTGAAGTGGTCGTGAGAACGTGATCTTGGAAGTCGAATTCTCCAGGTATCGATAACTGATTTATTCTAATAACTACATTATAGCGAAAAATAACGAGAAGTATAGAGATCTGATGGTGAAAGAACGCGAATACGACGAATTTTTAAGTGTGTTCGAGGAACAGAAGCAGGTATTTTTGCTTGTAGATTACCTTGATTCGTGACGCTATGTGTGCTCACAAAACTGATCAGCAGGTTCCCTTTCCAGAATCTTCTCACCGAGCTAGAAAAATACAGCGATGAAATTGTGAACATTCTCCAGAAAATATCAGCCAACATTGGACAGGTGCGATCTCTTATTGAATTGAAAATCCTTTGTGCTTAGCATCTGCTACTCCCCTGAGCTGTTCTTTGCTGGTTCTAATAGTGGGATTTCTTGCAGTGCACCAGTGTCTAGCAACTTTTGTTATTCACATGTTTACCAGAAGAAATTATGCATAGAGTCGGAGATTGACCTTTTGAACTCTTCAAATGGCATAAAAAGTGTGCTTGGGTAGAGTCGCTCATATAATGAGAGCGTCAATCTATGGCGAAATAGTGCCCCACTGGAGTTGGGTGGAGGAGGACGTCTTCATCCGGTACTACTTTCCCAGCCCAATCACTCTTCGCATCTCTGGGCACTTTTCATCCTAGTTAGACGTTCCTTTGGTTCGAACACAGTGTAAACTCGCGCAACGTTCTTTCCTACGACAACGATTAGGTACTTTTGAGCATTCATTCGAGCATACTCCATGCGAATGTAATCCAAGTGCATCGTTAATATCTTGACCTGTTCCCGCTACTTTCAGGTCTATTTAAAGCTAGAAAAAGAAAGTCATGCCAACTTGCTCATCGAGTATACCGCATTCAAAGCTTTGAAAAAGTTATAAGAAAATATTTTAGAACAAAAGTGAGCTAAGTGTTGATAGAGCACTAAAAGCTCTTCAAGAATGGCATCCATGCGATGCAGCTTTTTGAATTTCAAGGAAAATGAAGTATACAAAAGTGGAGTGTTAGAAAACGACAGAACTTTTTGAAAGACGAAATATTTATTGTGGATTCGGACATGCATCATAAGCCTAGTTTGAGCTGGAACAAGAAAGGGTGCGAGTCATTCCCAAATTGGGAGCAACTTTTGGAACATTGAAGTATGAATATTTCTGAATTGTAACCATTTCACACCGCAGGTACCCGAACGGCCTGAGGGACGCTCAGGCAGGACTGGCTTGAAGGCAGCGATTACGATAAAGAGGGAGCGCATCGGGGAAGCATATGCACCACACGAATCAGTTACTTGGCTGCCAAGGAAGCGAGGTGTGGCGCTTCACGACGAAAGGTGCGCTGGTTGCTGAGCAGGACTTCGAAAGCACTCCGCCCCCAAAAGCGATCCGCCCACTAGTTTACTTGGTGATTTGGACGAGCTGCGTTGCCAGCAGCGGCACAAGGAGCCTCGATTGGAGCATGGATTGGCATGCTGTCACCAAACGCGTTGCGATGAACTCGTTCATACGTCCGCTTTCTGAGCTGTTACCTGTTCATGAGTGAAAACCAACGGCCAAAAAGGGGGTCCCGTTTTGCGTTTTCTTGACGGATTTCTCCGCTTTTTTCGCCACTGGCGTACCATTGAGCACCACCACCCTTCCTTAAACCCTTACTGAACCTATCGTAATCGCTGCCTCAACATTGCATGTGGACTCAGGGACAGCTCCACCCCTGTCGGGCATTGGTTCGGTAAAGTGGAGTCAAGATTCCAGAAAAGCGGACTTCGTCAAGCGAGATAAGCGCTGAACAAAATGAAGGAGGAAAGAGTTCCTGGAAATAAATTTGGAAGTGAAACTTCCAAGATTGGAATTTTAAAACGCGCCAGAGCTTTCCGAACGAGATGAAATCAGCGAATGGGAAGTTTGCCCAAACAGCAATGGTTCGAAAACGCTAGCGCTCAGCTCAAAAAATATATAGAATGGTCCATTTCAAAGCCGGCAGTATCCATATCGTGCATATGTATTAGATTGGAGCATAATATTGTAGCGTTTTTTTTTTCGAGCGTATAAATTGAAGCAGTTATAAGCATCGCCCAGAAAACCACTAATACCATTTGAAAGTACTCTTTCCGTTCTACGAAACCGTGGTTGTCGTTTTCTTCAACAACGAAGTTGTACTCAAGTATAGAGCTTAGAATTGGAAAAATCCTAAACGGCAAAAATCGGCATTTCGACAGCTGCTATTACTCGGTTTGAATAAAGGAGAAAAAACGTGGAAATTCTTTCGAATCCATTGTTACAATCAAACCTTGTTCCGACCCTACCTTTTCCGCTCAAGTTGAAACCATATTCAATTCGTATAATACAAACTCAGAATAATAAGGACTCCAAAAACAAGCTCAATATTTTTTTTAATTTCAGGTGCATGACACGGAGCTCAACGTGACCGCGATGGATACAGACGGTCTACTCCATGGGAAAGCTTCTGCAAAAGAACTACAAGACCGTTAGTTCATGATTTATAGCTTATTCGCAGCCATGGTCACTTCCAAGGCTATGTTTCTTATCCCTACAGACGGAGCAGAGCTATTTTCCTTAGATATTATTATACTATTTAGATCAATACTTGGAAATCATTTGGGTTATTTGAGAGAATCGAAATTTAAAAAGTGTTTAGAAACAGAAGCAAAAGCAGACTCGACCAAAGTTAATGGTCGAGCTGACGTATTGAGGTGTTCGGAAAGTTTCCGCCGATTTTGACCTTTCAGATTCAAAGGCGCATATCTCGGCTTAAACTAAACATTTTGGATCGAAATTAAATCTGTTACGATCCCCATAGGTTGAGGTTATGCGAGGTGGTAGTTTGATAGGTTCAGTAAAGGCTAAAGCTCAGCCAGCAAAAAAATCGGTGAACGTCATTTTGCCATTATGTTGGGTTTTAACGTTTGATTTCATTGAAAAAGCTATCCAAGTGGCTGAAAAAGAGATAGTTGGTAGCAAGAGTTTTATTGTGCTGATGGTCGCAGCACAAATTTGTAGCTCAGCTAGTTCAACTTGTGCAGTGCTGGAAGTGCGAGATGGGGCTGCGTTACTGCTGGGAAAAGAGCCGGTGCACCAACTTGTCCACTTCCGCGGACCTTCTTTAGACAACTGTATATTTGGAAACCTCAGCTCAATTACGCCTGATCAGGAAACAACCTTTTCAACACTTCTATGCAGATTTGGTTAAGACCCCACTTGATCTTTGTCAGTCTCCATCCGGGCCTTCACCCTAATCTGCTTCGAAGCTTTTATCACCGCGAGAAAGACATTTTGAATCAAAACTGCACAGCCAATTTTTTATGGATCAGGACCGAATGCGCTTGCTACCTCGACTTGCTTCAGCCCTTTCTGTCCAAATTTGAGAGGAAACGAAAAACTCATACAAAAACATAACAGCTCGTTGTATTCAAGACTTCAGAAAGGAGAAAAGAAGTTCAAGGTGATAGTAACAGTAGATTTAGACAGCGAGAAACTCGTTTCCTGCCGATATTTGAAGCGGCAGCTGTTTCTTTGGAGTCATTCAGAAATGAGGCATTCGAATGTGAAGACGGAAGACGGCGGAAACTCCTCGAACAACCCAATACTCCTTCGCCTGGCGTTTGCCTAAATTGCGAGGCGTTACTCATAAGCTACTGTAACCAAAGAGAACATAGTTGCAAACATATACTGTACTAGAACAACAGCCTTCAAGAAATCTGATCCTGTACTGGGTGGCGAAAAATTGCGTGCGCCATACAGCGTCCAAGCATTACTTCTTGTTCGCAAAACTCCAAAAGTGATCTTCGTAAAACTTCGAACTATGACATTTCATAATTGCAAAAAAGATTTGGAGTAGCTGCCACCAATTTTGATACAGGCCTCAATTTGTTTCTTCAGCAAGTCGATGGTGCGGCGGAGGTGTTCAACGCATATTTCATTCCAAATTTCAGAAAGTTCTATTCAGTATCACTAGAATTTCTACATTTTGATTCCATGAAAGTTGTACAACAAAAACACCAGTAAAGAAATCTGCTGGACAAGAAATTGGGCTGTAAGCAGACTGCGAATTCAGCGCCAAAAAACACCGATACTGGTTTCAAATAAGCGAATTGTTGCATTGGTCCATGGGCCAAGTCCCTTCCTGGAGAAAGATAGAATTGTTATGATTCTTCTTCCCAGTAGAAAGCTTTCCTAAGGATACCTTCTTCATAGACCTTCCCGTTGATTCCCGCGCTTTTATCGATATAAACCTGGGGATGCTTGCCCGAAGCACTGATCCAACCTCGGATCATCAAGTTTGGAATGCGGGCCTTCTATTTACGGATATTACTGCTAGCAGGTATAGAAGAATAAAGGTTTTGAAAGATGTAAGGCACTCAAATAGTGAACTATTATTTGTGAAAACTCAGGGCGTCCTAGATGGCCGCACTTCAGAAAAATCCCACAACTTCTTATTTTTCCTCTCTCGCTTCTGCTTGAACGGTGGGAAACTGCCCACTCGATATACGATAAGGTTCATTGAGCGCTTCGTACTTCCTGTCATTTGAACACATTTGGAGTGAGTCTCGCACCTTAGCCTCAAAGAAATCATTTAGTCCACAGGTCCGCTGTATGGTTGCCGAGCAATCGCGTTCCAACTTGAGCAGATCTTTGTCAGAACTTAAACAAATGTTTTCTTCTGCAAACCAATAACTAGCAATAGACAAACCATTTGGAAGGAAAGGCACACATATATTCCTCATACAATGTTTTAAACGAAGCGAAATGTCACAAGAATGTAATTTTTCGCCACCCTTGTACCTTGTGCGCAACCTGACTTCAGGGAAGTTTTCAATTTGTCACAACCTAAGAGATGAATGGAGCAAAGTAGAACTGATAGTATCTTTTAGTATACGTCCGACTCAAAGACCAGATTATCGCGATGGACGAGCAGGAGGCGCGACTTAATGCTGAGTTGCAGTCTTTCGACAAGAAAATGCAAGAAATGGAGGACCAGCGCAACGTATACAGCGATCTTGATCAACTTGCTGCTGATGTCGAAAACAATATTAGGGTACGTTACTTGCGGCTGTTGCTGTCCTTATAGTGATCACGATAAGTAGAAGTCAGGTTTGCAGCCTCAAACCAATCAAGTCCTTTTTCACAATGCAATCTGCTTTTCGCTGCGCAATCGCAGCCTCGATCGCAAGTTCTGTAAAATTCCTACCGGTATTGATGGGGATGAACTCCAAAAAGCCTTTTCTTCATGGATGGCATAACTGCTATGGATTTGAGCAATCATTTCTTTGAGCTCAACTTTCCGTTTGAATTTGCGTCATTGCAGGAACTTGAAGGAAGTCGTGAGGACCTAGAACGGGTTCTGCCCCGCCTTGAGCAGCGCCGTGACGCTCTCGAAGAACAATTGAGACAGGTCAATGAGCAACTGGAAAGCAATCCTGAATACGCTGAGGTAGGCGTGGTGAAACCTGTGGAGAGTATTTGAGGGATTAAAAACTAATTTTGACTTCATTTTTGTCCACAGTATTTTTTCTATTTGGATCTGCTAAAGCAGAATACTTTAATCTTTAGGAACTGAAATACATTCCATATCAACTCCTTTACCAAAACGACTCTGATCACTTTGTTTCCAGATACGAAGCTTGCGACGAGAACTGGAAATGCTGAATGAGAGGCACGCCCGCCTCCTAGCGGAAGCTGAGGCCATTGAAAAAGAGACCAATTATGAGTCCATCAAAGTCGAGGTAAAATCTTTATAGTGCTCATACTATCTACTTGAAAGCTTAAGAATGCATGTTCACAATATGAAGACATACACGGAGAAAAACATCTCAGCTCAAAAGCACGCCCTAGCACCAAACTAGTGTGATTCTAGCACACGAAAAGGAAGCATTCGTGCGAGTTGTAAGGCAATAGAGAAAGCAAAAGAATCCATCAAAATTGCTAAGCTCAAGGGCCAAATCACTGATTAGATTCAGCTGTGCTAAGGTCATAAGAGAATGGGCAGTGAGGGGGAGTGTAGGCGGAAGAGCACAATATGTACATAGATGAGGCAGTATGCTGCGGGGGAAAAGAAACGGGAGCTGTTGAAGCGTTCTTCTGCACGGTTCTCATGCTCTTGCTGTCCACTTAAAAACCGAGAAAACGAGGCACCTGGTACCTAAGTGAGCTGCTCAATCCTCTCCAATCCACCTGAACTCATCCCGGGATGTACCTTTGAAATACCGAAGAAATACACTTCGTTTTGCCTTTGAGCAGAAAGAACTGCATTTTTTCGGCATATGTGGAAGAAATGGTCCATGTCAACTAAGGATCTAATTTTCGGATATTTTTCAGGTGAGACGCCTACGCGCGCTCTACAACGAACGCTTAGTTGCAGCGGCGGCTGACCGAAGGTGATGTTGCCAATGGATGAGTCTGCTTCATAGATGTTTCGTCATTTGATAAATCTAACAATATCCTTGAAAAATGACTGATTATTTCACAAGCTGAGGGAAACACAAACATTATGAAGGATTCACGAAGCTAGCGAGACTGACTCAACATGCCTCACCTGGAAATCTTCTCAGATTCTGACTTTGATCATTCCTATTTAGGTTTCTCTACTTTGATATTTAATCCTGTACAGCTAGCTCTTTTCGTGAAGGAATTAAAAGATGCGTATTGAATGCTTCTATTGAATGAAAAGCATACTCTGCTGCCAGACCGCGAACACTTATTAGGTTGAAGAGTTTGCTCCAGGACTCACCACAAATCCAGTTTATCATGAATTTAGACAAAAAGACTAACTATTATTTTGTCTCAAAATGGTGACTACCATTTCCTACGACTTTTTGCCAGCGATTTGAAGATTTGAGATCTGATGGGATCACCACTGCGCAATGCTACTAATGTACTATTGTTGGCGATTTCCAAAAAAATCTTCACGTTTTTAAAACCTTAAGTAGCACTTCACGTGCTTGATGGGCGAATTCCACCATTCTTATTCCAACCCAAGTTAGGAAAAGGTGTGAATACTGTTTGCGGTACTAATTACGCATTTGGATCCGAATCCACAAAAAATGCGCTGTGTAGAGAAAGATCAAGAAGATTTCTGTTGCTTTGGAGAGAGCGTTAAAGGTGGCGAAGTTTGCAGTCGGATATCAGCCTAACCATAAACTCACGCTCAATGAACTTGATCAAGTCCAGCTGTCGAGAACTGTCGCTTTTGAAATCTGTATGCCCGATGAGTAGTTTAGAGTTGTATGGACTGGAGTGGAAAATAAGTACAAAACAAAGAAAGCCTGGCTGAAAGCCTGGCTACTGTCTCTTTTTTCAGAGTCAGGTCTGGGCGTAACCACTGAACACTTCACCATTTTGGCGCGAGAGCGTCTAAGTGAGCATTTATAGTAGGTCGACCGATCATAACAACGCATAAGCCGCAGTCACATAGTGGAGGCGACGCGGTGACCCAGTGCAAACCCAAGCAACAATTGACTACGCGTCATGGTACACTAGCGGTCAAAAGAGTTCGCTGGGACGTTTTTCCATCATTTTTCTCACTCAGGCCGATGTCAGACTTTGCGAATCGCGCGATTCGCTAGCGTCTGCGGTCGCGTCGCGGCCAGTGAATCACTCAATTGGCTGGTACCGCAACGCGACCGCGGACGCTAGCGAATCGCGCGATTCGCAAAGTCTGACATCGGCCTCGAACAAAGCCTTTCAAATATTAATCAATAAGACTCCTTTTAAAGCCTTCGAAACCTTGACTATTGAAGAGCTTAGATATTTTAGAAGAAAGGCTTAAAACTAATATTCACATCCTTCTCTGGAGGGAGAAATGAAATGGCACAAGAAAGCGTCTTGGTGAATACTTATGATCGCTACTGTATTTCGAGTGTCCAATTGTTCTATGTAGAGTAGTAGATACGTATCGATCGTGGCGATCGTAACGATCGGACGATAGACGATGTATGCACCCCTACACGTGAAACTGTAAATGATCACTTGCGTTTGCCTTGGAGCAGCTTATCCACTATTGAAATTTGAACAAATATTCAAATGATTATAACTTTCTTCAAAATGGACGAATTTTCAATCTGAAAGCAGATTTGGAGAGTTTTTCGAACAAGCTTTTTCTAATACAATTAAACTGTAAAATTTGATGAGAAATCACCAATTCAGCCTTGATGAGTGCGAGTTTTCACGCATTCTAAAGCCGCAACTTTCATCTTAAATTCGTCAAAGTTGAAAAGCTAATGTAGCATTATAAACTAGAAGTTTTGCGCAAATCAACGACTCTCAAAGGGCTCAATTTGTTCAGCATGTCAAGAATGACTCCGTTGAGAATTTTGGCTCGAGTAACGCCGAGAGGTTCTCTTTAGCTACAAGCTTTTCAACGAAAATAGTTCTTTTTAGGAATAATTTTGTACCAAAATGAAAGCAGGTTTGGAACCCACAAGCTTTTTTCCAGCAAGAGTGGAAGCATTGAGCAACTTCAACGATTACATATTTATGAACTTGAAACTGAAACTGACAAGCTTCATGAAGAGTGGATTCGTCCCTGTTTTTTTGCGCGGCTCCTTTCAGACTCTCCTGACCGAGATTTCATTTGCTGACGGCCGTGGTTGAAGTGCAATTTACGGCTTTCCGGAATTACTATGCCTACGCTGGGATACGCCGTGTGCTTCACAACCCTTCACATTGGAGGACTTATTCGAAAGATAAAATATCCGTCAGAAACGTGCGAATTTCAGACTCTCCTTCCTTGTCGTAATAAATCACAGAGGTAGCTTATTGTTATAATTACTATGCGGACCCCTTTGAACCACGAAAATTTTATGTGGCGGAATAACATTGTTATAGAAGTCCTCCACCAAGCTTGCACAGCATCGATCACTCCTTGATGTTTGTCCTCTGACAGCGATGATCCTACTGCATCGATCCGACCTAACCTATTCCTCCCAGCGGGCCAAATACGTTCTCACCCCGTCGGCCTGTCCTCAACGCCACCTGAACCTGCTTGTAGGGCAAATTCAAGGCAAAACCAACGGAGGCCATTTCCTCCAATGAGTATTGGAAGTGGAGGCTAGAATAGAGTAGCGGCTGTCAATCACCATCACAATCCAATCGATATGAAGACATTCTATCCCTTCGAATTTTGTCAATTATTCGCGTAGTCATTTCGGAAATTCATATAACTCAAGCCTAGTGTAATTGTCTGTCAAACGGCGTTTTCTAAGGATATTGCAATTTTAATATATTATAATTGCGCATTGATTTCCGTCACCTTTGCATGCCCCTATGAATGGAAGGAAATTATAGTATTCTGCAGCACTTTCAAATGGCTGATCAAAGCAAAACGAGAATTTAATTCAAATTCAGGTCATTTTTATCAAGAGTCCGGCTCCCGCGGAACTCGAAGCGTTCACCCTTACAAGCCTGTGGATCGTAGTTACCGCCTTCCTGATACACATTGCTCAACCCGACCAGATTTCATTTGGCGATCTGTCGTACCGAGTGAGCGAAAAATGACGACATAGCAAAGAAGCCACATGTAAGGAAATCGAGATCATAGCATTGACCGTCGATGCATGCCATCGTCGCAATTGTATAAGTACAGACCTTCCTCATTCCTGTCATATGCAAAGCGTATTGAATATATTTGATTACCATTTTGTCTCTCAGCAATCTTAGACATGGAGAATTTTGTAGAAGCATTAGCATGGCTTAAATTTATGAAGCGGTGCACTCTTCGAAAAATACGCGGATTGAAATTTCCACGTTAATTACAGGGTGTCCCATAAATTTGCACCACTTTTCTTTGCTTGTAACTTCTTTCAAAATGGATGTATTTTCAAGAGGTTTTCAAAAATTTTAGCAATACATTTACATATTGAAAGGAATGACATTCATTGGATATGCTCCCCTGTTGTTGTGAGTATGGCTCCCAATTGCTTCGAACGCAACTCTACTGTGGCCCGCATGGCATCCTGGGGTGTTCTCTTCGAAACTTTGCAGAGAAAAGGCTCCGGCTCATCCATGTGGATGCAATGTTTAGTGCAGGCTCTGCCCTAACATAGCCCACATAGGATGGTCCAGCACGCTGAAATCAAGGGATAGGAGAGCCATTCGTTTGAGGATGTGAAATCGGAAAGAGTGCCTTAACAGCGCTCCTGAACAATTTTTGCCTCCTATGCAGAAGCTGGGTCCTATTGAAAAGATCATCACCCCTCCTCAAAGTGGCTAGATACCTCAGTAACAGATGGTGCACCGAAATGTCCCTTGGCTCGGTCTAGTATCAAGTTGTATTCCTTTGTAAACAGGCAGTGATGGTGAGCGACCGGTAGTTGAGACCCCGTCCAGACCATGATAAGGTTCGGCTGCTGCTTGTGGCGAATATTCCTTTCACTCTCACTGACTTCCTCAAGACCTCATGCGGGCATCCTCGGAAGTTTGAAGATTGTAGCTCCGCTCCATGTGAGGAATTTTGTCGTCGATGAAAACGGTGCCCGCGTAATCCCGGCCCTCGACACCAGCTCTTTGAACTTTTTGTCTCTGCTGTGCTCCTCCCGTTGGATTGAGCAGTGGTGCTTATGCAACTTATAATGGACTGTGAGCAGTTGTTATCCGACCACTCTCTACATGGCTGTGTTTAGAAACTCCAGCGTTCTGGTCACCTTTCTCGAGCCAACCCGGGTATTGCAGTCGTTTCGCTTCTTCATGCTTTTCCTGAGATCCAAGATGTCAGAACTTGTGGGGCGGCCACAACAAAGACTACTTTCATTGGTCTTCTCTTTAGTGCACGGTAGGCCACGGAGCGGTTGAAAATCCAAAGAAGCGCGATGCTCATCACCGGATGTCCGACCTAGCTGTGTGAGAGGTTAGGCACTCTGTTGAAGTTTAGATGCAGACCGAACGCTAAGCCGTGGAATTTGGCATGGTCATTGACAAGAGGATAGAGGATTGAAAGGTCTGCCAATCTCGGAAGAAAAGCTATAAACACCTACAGAATTTGAGCTCAAAATTTGGTGCAATATTTATGGGGCACCCTGTAGAAACAAACAACACCATTCCAAGTTGTCAGGCAGACCAGAAACAATGATGCCATACTGGTTCGTGGAATTCGCAACTAGACCAGAAATTTCAAAATCAGGGGGTTGCATTAGCGATTGAGGGCAGGTATGGGTGTTTGCAAACGAATAAATGGATTTGCACAAGTACGCATATTTGCAGGGAAAATAATGGACGATTCCGGAAGTTGCGCAGCAGCCCCATTTCCCTACCTCTTTACGCTTATTTTTCTGCTTTCTTGGCAAAGCGCTGCCGATTTTACGTTTACGTTTAAAAATACCTAAGTCCTATTCCATACATAAGAAAGCAACTAAGACCATGTGAATTCTTTCTCTTATATCAAGCCT